TCCCTTGCGACCCCACTTGGGATAAGTGTGATGGAAAATGGATGGTTGGTGTATTTCATGTTTTTACTTGTACCTTAAATATTTATTTCTGCTTTTAGTTTTTATCCCATTTGTTCTATTTTAATCATCCATTTGTTCCCTCCATTTCAGCTGGGGGGTGGGGGGTTGCTTGAGGACTCAAATGCAGAGGTGAGTGAAGCAGAGATGAGTTCTTGTTGGTTTAATGAAAACCCGAGGCAGACATCCAAAAATACAAAGAACCAGAAAACAGCAGGGAAAACTCACGTGGGGAGCCAGAGACGAGGAAGCAACTAACAACACCAAGGAACCAGCAAACAGTGACTGAACATGAGGTGTATAAATGGGAGGCTGAACAAAGACCAGGCTAATCAGCAGATTGGGAGCAGGTGTGGAGAGAGGAGTCTAGAAGGGAGCTAGGGAAAAAGAGACTGACACAAGAGGGCAACAAGAAACAAGAACTACATAAGAACTCAAATACAATCAAAAATACCTAGATTAACACAAGATGGAAATGAAAGCAATAAACTAGAAAACACAGAAAGACATGAATCAAAGTATAACTGAAAGTTAAAAAAACTTAAACAGAACGAAAAAGTGCAGTCATGACACCATTCCTTTTGTTTAGCGCTTTGGTCAGTGCCTGCTGTTCTTTTTAAATTACTCTTTAAATTAAATTGGTTTATTCGACTTATCAGAGCCTCTGCTCCAGCATGTTTACTTTGTTTAATACATGGCTAATAGCACTAAAACTCATCATTATTATTATTTTTTTTACTGGTTTTTCTCCTATACTGTTTACATGATGATCACTGCTGAACTTCATAATGGTAATGTTAATTTCACTGTCTAAGGTAGTTAGTTCCATCCATCCATCCATCATCTTACACGCTTGTCCCAATTGGGGTCACGAGGGGTGCTGGTGCCTATCTCCAGCAGTCAATGGGCGAGAGGCAGGGTACACCCTGGACAGGTTCCCAGTCCATCGCAGGGCAACACAGAGACACACAGGACAAACAACCATTCACACACACTCACACCTAAGGACAATTTAGAGAAGCCATTTAACCTAACAGTCATGTTTTTGGACTGTGGGAGGAAGCCAGAGTACCCGGAGAGAACCCACGCCTGCCCAGGGAGAACATGCAAACTCCATGCAGAAAGACCCTGGGCCGGGAATTGAACCCAGAAAGGTAGTTAGTTTATTTGGGGATATCATAAAATACAGAAGCTTAAAACAAATATTTCAAAGAATAAATTTTTTGTGTTAAATTGTTTTTCTTTCATTGTTAATTTATATGAACCTTCTTTCTGTTGTCCTATATAAAATGCCAATTAAATACTTTTCATATTAATGTTTGTATAGTAGCTGTTGTGGAAAACTGGGAGGGGATGGGTCTGTTTTTGAAAGGCGATGCAGATCTTTCAGAGCTTATAAAGTAAGTTTTTTTGTATATCTTGATAAAAAATATAACCAATTGAATCTGACAGTAACCACTTTATAATTGAGATGTAGAACCCAGAAAAAAAAAGCTTCATAAAAAGCAGCAAGTTCTTTTAACATAAAAAAAACCAACAACAGAATAATGCTGTTTTACAAAGGCTGAGTATTTCCATGCTTATTATATTTTTCGCTGTGGAAATCAGGGTGCGCATTTCCCCACACGATTACATTAATGTTTTTGGGCATTGCTTCAATCTGCACTCAGCAGAGCTTCTTGCTTCTTGTTGTTTCTCTGTGACAGTCGGACGCATCAGCCATTCATCCCAGGTCCCACCTGAAGCCCTGCAGCCTCACTAAATTCTTCATTCACACTGATGACACAGTGGTATTTAGTGACGAGCAATATTCACTCTGATGCATGAAATGAAAACTCTGGCAAGCAGCCAGGCTCTGCCTGTTTAATGTCCCGGTTGAGATAAGTTTCATGTAACACAGCTGCCGTGAAGCAAAGTGCAGGTCTGTAAATATGAGACGGATCTCATGGGCAGGGAATGTATTCTTGGAGATAAAAAAAAAAAAATAAATAAATTATAAATTGGACCTGTGGGAAAGCAAATCTTATTTGTGATGGCAAGTGATGAAACTCTGTGGTTCATAATGTCCTGGGCACAGCATGTTCCCACAGTCTACGGGATTTTTTTAAACTTACAGTCACATAGCAGTCAGGTAGGGGGCTGGATCAGTATAAACAGCCCCCCATGTTTTATAAAATATCATTCATTTTCATTCATAAAAAGGCATTGGGACATTATGTCATATCACAGCATTTAAAGGACATTAAATAAAACATATTGGTGTTATAAGCGCAAAAAATTTATTAAAGGTAAGAAACTAGAAATAGTTTCCCATAGATCTATAGAACTTCAACACAAGCATGTTTGAAGATGTGTCAGATTGCCTAAATGATAAATAATAAGCATTAATTTTAAAACATTCTAATATGCAGGTGTGTCTCAGAAACTGCAAAGCTGACATTGTTCTTTACATTTAAATTATTAGGACTTGCAGCTCATTAAAGGATTAGGGTTAGGATCACTAACAAATATCAACCCCACAAAAAGCAATGTATAATGAGCATAATATGCTGAAACATATTTTGTTGAATTGCTGCAATGCAGCCTGATATGGAAGTGGTCAGCGTTTGGTTCTGCTGAGATGTCAGGAAATCCAGGATGCTTTAAAATCGGCCTTCAGCTCGTCTCGCATTATTGTTTCTGATCTTTCTCTTGCACCCATAGACTCAAATAGAAGCAACATGGAAACAGCATCTCCATAATTTCAGAAATGAAGGTATTTAGGGGTTTAAATGAGCAAATATGGAGCACCAACATGAGCAGATGATATGGCACTAAATTACCTCTGACTGTGGAAACTTTACAATCAACTTTAAAACAACTTGGATTTTGTGCCTCTACACTCTTCCACCAAATTTTGGAACTGTTAATATTAAAAAAGAAAATTAAATTCAAAATTTAACAGTATTGTTTCTACCATGCTTAAATGAAATTATAGTGTTAAAGCAACTTATTATGCTTTTAATAGATGTTTGAATTCCTGCGGCCCTCAAAATCCGGAATGGATTTTGCTTAAATTATCAAAATTGAGCATTTTTTTTTCTTCCACTAAATTTTCCAACTGGTTTTGCAGCAATCTTTTGTGCATTTTTTTCCCTTGTGAAGGCTGTAAATGATTGTCTATTCAAGAAGCGTCTACTTTGTAGATTTCCCCATGAATATGCAGGCCTTAACACAATATTTCTGTATCAAAAATATTTTCTATTGTACAGTTATTATTGTTTATATACATTTTATTGTTAATGTGTTTTTTGTGTGTTTTTAAGTGCTTCTAATTAAAACTAAACGTATGAACAGTTAAACTGTATCCTGCTTTTTTAAATGATTTTAGAAGTGTCCATATTTTATGTTCATTTTCGAAATAAATGAACCTTTTGACTATATTTAAATGTATGTTTGCACCAAACCTTAAAACTGCTGCTGTTAATTTCTTTCATGACTTTTTTGAGGAGACTCATGTCGCGCACGATGTCCTCACATTGAAGGGAAAAATAAAAACATTTTTCCTCATAAAATGCTATTCTTGCGCATTCACCTCAGATAAACTGTTGGTGTAAAGCAAGGGCGTAGGTTTGATTTGAACTTTGGTAGGGACACTATTGGTCTGGTGTCATTGGTGCTATGCAATATGCATGCCCTTTTTTATGCTCGATGTGAGCATCCGTACTGATAAGAGGAATTCATTGTTAAAAGAGAAAAGCAACATTTTGCTCCATTAATAAAAATGTTATAAGCTCTACACTCGATGCTGCTTAGATGTTTGAAGTATCACCGGCTCTGAAGAATGTGGAATCAGGACTTTTTTCCACTTTGAAAATGGTTTCATTTGAACGACTAAGAGAGAAGGTAAATACAGTATTTTCTTTTGAAGATATAGAATTGTGCAGAGTTAAACACCACTCTAATATTTGTACCTACTATGCTCTCTCTGTATCAAGCAAAATAATACATTCATTAAAATATTAACTTCACTATAAAAGTTGAACATCTGGGCTGTAGTTACTCTGTGTAGCCAATATCATGTATTTCATCTGGGGCTGAAAAAAATGAATCATATTAATTGATTATTTTAATAATCGTCAACTAATTTAGTATGTGATTCATCATTAACTGGAGTATAGAGACTTTAAAACATACAGTAATATAAAAGTAAAATGTGCCTTTCCCCACAGAGCAATTAGATCAGTTATCATATCAAAATTGTAAAAATAAAAACAAAAAAATAAAAACAGTAATATCAACTTAATATCGGTAAAAAGGAAACCCTCACATTTTCTCTTTTAGTTGGCTGTGGCTAAGAATCAGAAATGTTGATGGCTTACAGCCTTTATTTGCCCATTTTTCCAGCAGTCTTCAGAACTCCTGGCTGACTCAGAATATTTCGTTTTATAAAAGAAAAAAAAAAGGTTTTTGTTTTTTAGTGTACATGATATTCATTTTTTTTATTGAGACTAGTTTTGTAGCCTAATATTAATTGTAGTAACCGCTGCATTCTAGTGTGAATAAATTTTCAATGTTGTGCTCCAAGCACACGCGGACTAGAAAACAGCCAATCAGAGAGAGAGAAGGCGGAACTTAAGGCAGAACAACCAATGAGAGTGGAGTTAAACAGCGCAGCACAGTTCCATGCGCTGCTACATGAAAGGGACAGGAGAGACCAGGCAGAGGAGCTGCAAGAGGAAAAGAAGCCACTGCTGCAACAACTACTGCTGTAAATTATAAACACGTTGCTCACATCCAATTATTGGTCGGGACAATTAGGTCGGTTCAAAATTTTGGTAGGGACATGTCCCTATGGTCCCTATGCAAACCTACGCCCATGGTGTAAAGACTTTGACGCTCAGGTGCCTCTGCTGGGACTTCTCCGGACTCCCTGATTGGCCGGTGCGCTGTGCTGATGTCACCGCCTGCCTCGCGGATCCGGCCCGGTGCAGCATCAGGCTCAGATCCGCGCTGCAGCTCCGGATGGAGTTGACGCGCGATGGGATACCAGGGACCGGTTTTTGAGGTCAGCTGCTCCGCGCTGCCTGGATGAACTGGGACCGTGCGGGCTCACAGTGCATCAGCCCGTCATGGGGGACGGCGGTGCGTCTTCTCAGCTGAACCTCCAAAACGGCACCGGGGAGGCGTCCGATGCGCACGGCTCTGTCGCGGCCGCGTCCGAGCACTGGATGGCCGGGATGAGCCTGCTGATGAGTCTGATCGTCCTGTCCATCGTGTTTGGGAACATCCTGGTGATCGTGGCCATAGCGAGGACGCAGAGGCTCCAGACGCTCACCAATGTGTTCATCGTGTCTCTGGCGAGCGCGGACCTCATCATGGGACTGCTGGTGGTGCCATTCGGCGCAGCGCTGGAGGTGCGCGGTTTTTGGATATACGGCTCGTTCTTCTGCGAGTTCTGGATCTCCGTGGACGTGCTCTGCGTCACCGCGAGTATAGAGACTCTGTGCGTAATCGCCATAGACAGGTATGTGGCCATTACCTCACCTTTCCGCTACCAGAGCTTATTAACTAAAGCCCGGGCCAGGGCGGTGGTGTGCGTAGTTTGGGGCATTTCCGGGCTGGTCTCCTTCCTCCCCATCCTCATGCACTGGTCCCGCGACAATGTGGACACAGACTGCTATGATGACCCCCACTGCTGCGACTTTGTGACCAACAGGGCTTATGCCATCTCCTCATCCATCATTTCCTTCTACATTCCTCTCCTGGTTATGATTTTTGTTTACGCACGGGTGTACAGAGAGGCCAAACTACAGCTGAGGAAGATCGACAAGTGTGAGGGGAGGTTTCACAACACCCTGACAGGACTGACCTCCAAGTGCAAGAAGAGGCCGTCCAAGATCCTGGCGCTCAGGGAGCAAAAGGCGCTTAAGACTCTGGGCATCATCATGGGGACCTTCACTCTGTGCTGGCTGCCGTTCTTCATCGTCAACGTGGTGCGCGTCTTTTGCGCGGAGATGGTGGACAAGGACCTGTTCGTGTTCCTGAACTGGTTGGGCTACGTGAACTCTGCCTTCAACCCCATCATCTATTGCCGGAGTCCAGATTTCAGGAAGGCTTTTAAAAGGCTGCTGTGCTGCCCGCGGCAGGCGGACCGCCGGCTGCACATCAGCTCCTGCGACCTGTCGCGGTGCTCCGGCGGCTTTGTGTCCGCGCTGGAGCCCGGCACGCTGGAGATGTGGTCGGATTGCGCAGCGTTGGATAAACAGCGACAGCAGCCTGATGGGGACCGGGAAGCTGGCTCACTCTGAGTCCCAGATGTGAAGGAAAAGAGATTATATATAGAAAAAACTAATTGTGGTGAAAAAACAGAAAAACCTACATGTGGAAGTTAAAATAATACAAAACGCATCCAAATCAAGACTTGGACAGGTATGCGAAGTTTTCTTTAAGATAGTTATTTAAAAAACAATACATAAAGCTACAAAAAGAAGTTTTGAAACGCATATAGAACAACACATTTTATTACAAAATAACCTAATTAAAGTATGAGAAAGAAAGCGAATGTCCTTTAAGGTAATTAAATACAAGGAAAATATGTTTTTTTTACTCATAAAGTGTTAGAAAAACAATCGGATTTATATATTTCTAAAATGATATCACTTTTTTGAAATGCAAACAGAGCAGTTCCAAGGAATAGCTACACTGGAAAAAGTATAACCTTTCTCAAAAAAAAAAAAAAAAAAGAATGATGTCCAGATATCGCATCTAAAATAATTTACTTCACAGAATCTGAATTTAATCGCTTGTTATGACCTGATTATATTATGTTGATGTAAACAATAATACTGCACTTATCACAACTTAAAATCTTTGCCCTGTTCCAAATGATTTTCTGAACATTTCAGTTAATGAAACAAACCAATATATTGACATTGGACCAACCTAATATAGTTACTTTTAACTAAATTAACAAGAATTTAGACAAGCCAATTAACCTAACAATCATGTTTTTGGATTGTGGGAGGAAGCTGGAGTACCTGGAGAGAACCCACGCATGCTCAGGGAGAACATGCATACTCCATGCAGAAAGATCCTGGATCACTTGGCTGTGACTGCATGCAAAGCGCAGTTGACATTTGATTCACACACAAAAAAATTACCTGCAGGCCATAAATATATACATATTGAGAGAAATCAAAAACTTTGTGTTGGGTCTTTCTACATGTATTTAGTTAAGGTTAAATCAAACTTGATGTCTCAAAATACAAAAAGAATGATTTACATAATCAAATCAATAATTTTATCCAGTTTAGAGTGAAAAGCATTAATTTGAATGAACAGTTACATGTTACACTTTTTTCAGTGTAACTGGTGGTTTATTTTATCAAGAGTTCTCACCCTCATGTATTCTATTCATATAAATAAATATTCTTCTCCGATAATCAGGATTATAATGGTGGAGGTGCTGATAATGAAGCTCTGATGGGTTTTAAAGCAATCCCTCATGGTGATGCTTGTGATCAGAGCTGGCCTGAGGCAGAAGCAAACTAAGCTGCTGCTGTTTGGGGCTCCAGGCCAGATGGGGGGCCCCCAGGTATCATCATAGAGAATCAGCAATAGTTCTAGTTAGATGTTATTACTTGCAAAATATCCAGAAAATTGAGTTCAAAATGTTTGATATAACGATTAAAGTTTCTTTAAAACAAATCTTATTTTTTAGGTTTATTTCATTTTCTAATACAATAGGTAAATGTAATTATTTGGACTCGCTCACACTTTGGTTGGCTCTGTGTTGCACTTTACAGGGCTGGCTCTTGGTATAACCTGGTTTTGTGATTTGGGGCCCCATGCTAGTCTTCTTGCCCCAAGAGAAATTGAATTCTGATACTTAAGTTGCATGAATGCAAAAGAAAAACTTAATAGAAACTCTAATCTAATTCAATAAAGACATTCAAAATTAGCTTTTCTTGTTCAATTAATTTTAACCAGAACTGTCACACTCTGATACAGAGACAGTAAGTTTGTAGTTCAAGAAGACAAGGAACATTCATCAAAATGTGTTTTGTTTTTTTCTTATGTTGAAATGATAAGAAAACAATGACTACAACACAAAAACCTTGCAGATTCTGTGTGCAGTTGCGTAGCAACTTCTTACATTTTGTAGAGATTTACTCAACAAGTAAAACATTTACTCATTTAAACCAATCTGAAACATCTACAAATATAATTTGGATTTATTTGTTTTAATGACCACCTGTTTTTTTTGTTTTTGTTTTTTTTTTTTGCTTTTTTATAAAAGCAATGATCAATCAGCCAGAAATCAGAACTAGCTGGTTTTTGCTTGATTGGTTCCAATTGTAATACATATACAAAATATGAAAAAAATTCAAACTGTTTTTCAGTAAATCTATGAAAACCAAAGGCCTCCCACTAGTTTGGATATATAAACAAATCACTCGACAGCCTGCAGTTTGCTGTGTGTGTTTTTGGTTTAACAAGGAGTCAGATAAAGGTTTGGGATCTAAAGAAAAATCAGCGATTGGTCAAAGGATCAGTGCAGCTTTAACATTTACTTAAATAACTGCCATCTGTACCCCAGACATTCCATCTATAAAATGATCAACTTTATAGTTAATGTAACAATTATTGCTTGTTTCTGAGATGGGCAAATATTTTATGTCCAGTTGTAAAACTGTAAAGAAATCAAGTAATAGCAGCTATTTTTTCATGGTTGTTTTTCATCAGGCTTCATTTATCTCCCCTTCCCTTATTTCACTATAATATCCACCATTTGAAACAGTTTTAACAGCAGATAAATAATTACCATACTAAAATGTATCATGCATCTTAAAAATAAATGTAAAATCTGATTGTTAGATTTGTATACTGGCATATCAATCAGATATTTGCTAATTGAATTATATGAGTATTGTGAAAGACTGATATCGATATTTTCATCGAAACGAATCATGTAACATCCAATCATACTGAAGCTGGTGATTTACACCCATACTATCAGAAAAAGTTAAATAACAATAAGTGAAAAGTTTTTTTAACCTAATGACCAGCGTTGAGTCATTGACTTTGCAGCAATCCCTCCTCCAGAGCAATAGCGGATGTTTTTTCAAAGTTTTTTCTTGGAGGAATTTTAACAGAAAAAATAATATTGATGGTAATGATAAATTCTGCTACAAAAGAAACAGCTGAGACTACGGCCGAAACAGTTAAATCGCATTAATCGGTTATTGAAATAACGGTGAACTAATTTAGTAATCGATTAATCATTAACTGGAGTATAAAGACTGTAAAACATGCCTTTAGCTGACAGAACAACCCACTTAGAGTACTTATACCAAAGTTGCAAAAAAATATAAATATTTTGCATTTAAGAGAAATCTTTTTCATCTGTCAATATCCTCTATCCAAAACCACTCAAGTGGAAAAGTTGTAGTTTCAACTGGTTTAATTTCGTAAAAAGTCTTCTTTAAGGAACCTGTGGCTATCCGATTTATTCGAAAAAATAATCAACAGATTAATCGATTTGAAAAATAATAGTTCCAGCCACTTAAAAAGAGGTAATTGTGTGATTTAAAGCAAATTTCAGTAGGTCAGTTTGTTTTTTTGCTATACAGTATGTAATCAATCTAATCTGTTGCAGTTGACTTTCTATGTTAAACTGGTGAAACGGTTGAGGTTGTGGATAATCTAGTAAACCAAAGGGAGAAGCAGAGTAACAAATATTTGGAAATCATTATTATTGGAAATTTTTTTTATTACATCTAAACTAAAAGAACTAAAAGACTAAGCATATGGATATTAACCCTTTAAAGCCCGATCCAAGAATAAAACAAAACAGAAAATTACTTTTTTTTGGTTCGAAGTCCTTATTTGGCCTTTTAACAAAATATGTAAAAAGAAAAAACAAAAATACATTTTTGATATTAATAATTTATCACTATGCGATAAGTCAAGATTATTTTTTGTGTAGTCTTCTGCCCTCTGTTATCAGGTATACCTGATTGTGTACAATAGGATTTTGAGCAAAGTTTTTACCATTAAATTATTCAAAAGGTGTCAGACGCAAAACATTTCAGAAACCGTATGTATCAAATATGATACATTTGGCATTACAGGGTTAAAGGAGTGGTAATTGTCCTGTTAGTATGAGGTTAACTAAAGGTGGCCCCCTCTAATAAAACTAAGCCTTAATCAGCCTTGGAACGGCTCTGGTTCTGTTCAAAAGAGAAATACTGTGGTCTGTGATGAAAAAGAAGGCATGACTTCACTTGTAACATTCTCCTAAAAGTATTATTAGTTTGCTGTTTTTTTCTACCGTTGTTGGATATACAGTCCGTTTTTTATGTCTGTAGTGATGAGGATGATGAAGCAGATCTGGGTTTCTGAAATAATCCCACATCATGATGTTTAAGGTGGCCGCTCAGGTGCGCTATAATAAGCTGGTGGATGTTTAAAAGCATTTGTCTTGTATTGCTCACAATGTGTTCATACCTCACAGCTGTCGGCAAGTGCAATTTGTACTATGACAGGTACTTGTTTATATTAAACATCGTGTAAAATAAGATGTGTATTTATTCCGCTGTGTCTTTTAAAATGAGGAGCATATGCAGGGGCAGACGCCTGTTGTACATGTTGCATTGTGAAGCACTGAAATGATGACAGCGAGCCTCTCTCTTGCTTCCTGTCTCCGCCTTTAAGAGCTGTTGTGAGATGGTGCTTTATCGTTTGTGAAAATAAAAGAATGTTTCATTATCCTGCAAGCCTTATTTCTTTTGTTTTCTGCTGCAGACTCAATCTCATGTGTTAATCCAAATTATTTCTGCCTTTTGAGCTTTTCTTTTTAATATAAACCTACCTAGTTTTAAAATAATGAGTGAAATCTTATATAATGCATCGCTATGGAGGAATTTTGATGAAGACATTTGGTTTGAAATGTTGTATACATCATATATGCAGGTTTTGAAACACTGACAGATTATTTAAGGTCTTTAAACCGCAGTATGTATAACTGATAAAAAGTCCACACCTCAACTAGATGACCTAAAAGCATACCTTTCGTCACTTTTGAGGCCTTGAGAGGTGGAGATGATGTTGTGCTTCAGATTATTATCCTGCTGCATGACCAAAAGGGGTTAGGTTCTGCAAAAAAAACGGTTCGATCAAGTTTTTTTAGTCCCTGAGGAAGAGAGACCAGCCTCTATTTCTGTAGACCATAGAATGGATGTTAATTTTCTGAATTGATAAAACAGACATATCCTAAAGCTCAACTTTCATCTCACACTGCAAAAACTATCTAGAAATAACTAATTTCTTAACATTTCTAAAATTGAGTGTAGTTACCCTTAATTTGAGTAGGTAACTAATATAATTTGTCAAGCCCCTGTGACAACAAATCCCATAATGCTTTGCGTGGAGAGCTCTCCACGCAAAACACACACATATGTGCTGAAAGTGCAAATCTACAATAAAGAGGACCACTTATTTAGATGATCCACCCGGAAATAAAACGATCATTCTCTATACCTTTAAAATAAGATAAATAGATAATATACACTTCAAATAAGATAATGAAATAGTTTTTTTTTTTCTTGTTTTAAATGTAAATTGTCTTGTTCCATTGACAAAGTGTCTCACTTACCTGCTTAAAGAAAAGAAAGAAAAAAGTATTTTTCTAGATTGCGATTTTGTAAAGTGCATCAAACCCCTGTGTATTTTCTTGAAATATTTTTGTTTTGCAATTTTGTGTTGTTTTTTTTCTTCAGCAGAGGTTTTTTATCTCTGAACTCTGCCATTGATGCTATTTTTGCCTAGTCTCTCTTATTAACAAAGCCTGAGCTTTGACCTTAACCAAGTGTGGCCTCCTGTGCATTGGAAGTTCTGGGTTCCTTTTTGACCTCCTAGATAAGTTGTTCATATGCTGTTGGAGGAATTCTGTCAGGCTTGCCTCTCCTGTGACAGCTCAACGCTATTTCTGTACCGGTACATGTTTTCTTTACACAATACACAGATCATAGCTCCTAAAGTGGTGGAGTCCCAAAAGAATTGTTTGCATTCTTCATAATGTGTTTTTTTTTTTCAGTTCTCTGATAACTCCTTCATGTTATCAGAAAGGAAGTATTTAAGTGATTTCTTAATTGTAAGATTTACAGAAGTTTCCTGGAAGACCTGGATTTTTAAGTGTTTACATTCGTATCCTGTAACCTTTCTCATGTTGCGAGGAAAAACCGAGAAAGCTCTATCAAAGGTTCGATGGCAGAGAGTAGAAAACATTGAGTTAAATGCAAAAAAACAAAAAAAAAAACTTAATGAAAAACCAGAATCCAAGATTCTTTACAAAAACACACAAAAAAGGCAATTGCAATAGATTGAAATGAACGTCTCCAAGGTGTTTGAATGAGACCTGTTGTCAACATCTGAAAAACACTAAAACATGCTGAAGAAGGCAGAGAGAAAAAATAGCAAAATTTCATTGAGTTATTGTGGTGTATAGAGGCTGCAGAAAATCTGACCAGAAACTGGGGGAGGAGGTTCTTACACCTCCAATTGTTGAATCCTTAAATGTTTTTTGTTTCAGGATGACAAGATTTTAACAGCCTGGTCAACCAAACGGTTGATCATTTTCATAGGAAAATGCAGGCTGGAGTTGGACAAGGACGTTAAAGCGTTAAATCATGTCTCAAAGCTACTAAGTACAATTTGGTCAGTCTAAAATGCAGTTTTGTCTTTCATTTCTCTTTCTCATGCAAACACAATTGAAACAAACATATCTTATCGTACATAAGGAAAAAATAAACATATTTCAACATTCCTTGCTTAGAACAATAAACTTTTGAGGTTTACTCTGCCAGAGTTGAACTTATCACAGCTTTGTGGATTGTTGCCAGCAAGGCAACCTCCTAATCAATGTGTAGAAAACCAACCAGCCAACACACTGACCCCATTAAACATCAACCTTAGTGAACTTAGGGAAGACACAACACGCAAACTGTATTGGAGGACCAGCGTGCTCTATGTTTCCGGCAGTAAACATGGACGGTAGTGCCGGCGCGCATCTAGCGCTCTTTTCCAACCATAAAACTCATCTTTTCAATATGGTTTAACATAAATACTGCTCTCCGCGTCATCATCATCTGCCATGGTTGTTGTTTTTCTTGCAGCTTCTGCGTAGCAAGACGCAGAATAGTGACCTTTGTCGGGTATTAATGACGTTCAGGTCGGATGAATCCAACCTGGCTGTTCACACACAGGTCGCATTTGAATAGATTAGATTCGTATCGGATTCAGGACCACATAGCCAAGTGGCCTGGGTTGGATTGGAAAAAATCAGATTTGTGTTGTTCAGACAGTCATGAAAAAATCTGATCCAGGTTGCATATGGGCAAAAAAAATCAGATTTGGGTCACTTCAGGCTGCAGTGTGAATGTAGCCTAAGAGCTTTTAGACTGCAGGGGGAACTAAGCAAAAACAGTTTTGACTCAGTGGTTTCATAAGCCATCATTTTTTAGTGTTGTTTATTTGACCACTGACCATGTGCCATATCTTCTCTACAGGTGAGAGGAAATGGCACGTGTCTCGCTGGATGGACCCTCTACACCAGGCATCCCCAAAGTCGGTCCTCGAGGGCCACTGTCCTGCAGGTTTTAGAGGTTTATTTGCTTTAGCACAGCTGATTCTGATGATTTCAGTTCAGCAAAAGCCAACTATCAATGTAAATCAACTGTGCTGATGCAGGGAGACCTCTAAAACCTGCAGGACAGCGGCCCTCGAGGACCGACTTTGGGGATGCCTGCTCTACACCACATATGTCAATCTATGGCCCTCTGGATGATAATTAATTACCATTAGAACCGGCCCACAGGCCATGGACGCTTGTGCGTGCTACTGTGACTTTGCGGGCCACCGTTGCATTGTGGGGAATGTAGTATTGTTGTGTTGCACACACCAACACTACATTCCCAGGGGAAAACATGATTGTCCTTTTCTTTTATTTACATTTTTTGTTGTGCTTTGCATGTTTGGATTGTTTTGGTTTTAGCTTTCCCCTTTGAACAACACAAGCTGGGCTAAAGTCGGTTGTCTAAAGGGCAGATTATACTTCTGCAATCGCACACATCAAATGTCGCTTGGGTCTGGTCGCGAAGCAGTTTTACTGGTATGCTTCTACACCATCGGTCTGGAATTTCTAGAGACGCTCAGCAGTTTACCGCCAAAGCATAAGGGGGAGCCTATTGGAGAACTTGTGAGAAGTTTGGGCGGATGGTCACAAGCACTTCGCCGGCGCCAGTGGGATTGTTTATCTTCCAAAACAACAATGGCTCGTCTGATATCACGGTCACAGAGATCGATCTAAAGTTTCTACTGTAGACATCGAAGAGGATCTATTTTTTTATATAATTTGTCTGAGG